CTATGGCATGGTATATACGAAAAAAATGAAATGGCAATACTTCGAGCTGAAATTTATTTCACCCTCAAGCCTATTGTTGAACAAAATGTTCTGAAAATTTCAGTTCGAAAAAATATTTCCTTGCCAAGAAAGGAAACATTTTGCTCAGCAATCAGCCTGTCTATGAGATAAATCTCAGCTCGAAGTACTGCCATTCGTTTTTTTTGGTATATACCATGCCATAGGCTAAAATTGCAGTCAAATGCCTATAAATCTGAACAGAAGGCCTAAGAGCATTTATCCTTTTGAAGGTTTTTTATCCTCCAATGAGATCTAATTTAGGCACAGAGTTTGAACTCAAAAGCGATTGGACAGTTGAAAATGTTCGCTCGTTAGTTTAGATGTTTATTGAAGACAGTTCGAATGGATAATTATATCAAAATCATTAATGAAGATTTATTTTTGGAAACAACATTTCGAACAATATCAATACATCTTTGTCGAAGATGTATAAAACGAATTTATTTCATATTATCATCTAAATAACTTCTTTCTTAAGATCATTCGGATGAAGTTTACTCAGACTTTTTTTTTTGTAAATATGATTCCTTAAATCTATATGACAATCTATGCAATATTTTGATTCTTTAATTGAGTAGAATCAATGGTCGCTCGTAACGATAGAGATCATAACAACTACATATAGAATTGCATTTGAAATGAAATATAATTAAATAGAGATTAATAATATTATATAACTTTTTTGATTTGGTAATCTGGGTTACGCACTAAAAAAAAACGTTCGAACCAGTGTCTCACTTAACAATTGACAAATAATATTTTTAACAATTGATTCGTCAATATGTTAAATATTTGATGATTTAGTCTACTATTATGATATCTTTTGAATACAATCAGTCAGTTAGTTAAGTTAATATAAATGTGACTGAAGTAATGTCGAGAGAAGAATTATTTAACTCGAGAAAATTTTCATGTTAAATGACTGTTTTTTCACTATTTTTTATAAACATCCATCGTGATAATAATATCATTAGAAATAATTTGTTGTACAACAATTAAATATAATCTAGTTTAGGTACCTTTACCTGAACAATCAAGTTTATCAAGAGGTACATGGCAAAAATTAGAAATGTTTGGTTCAAAAGAACTAGCTTATGCAATAACAATGCGTGATTATGATTTATTTATGAGTATCAATCAAGTATGAAAATAATTATTTTAATTTTTAATAAAATTTAATAAAAAAAATATTTTTATTTATTAGTATGAACTTCTATATCAAGTATTTGGTCGATATAAATTTGGAAAAATTACAGCTAATTTAGATAGATTTATGAGACGTTTTAATGAAATTCAATATTGGGTTGTTACAGAAATATGTTTAACACCAAGTTCTGGTAAACGTGTTCAACTTTTAAGAAAATTTATTAAAATAGCATCTTAGTTAGTTATATTAAATTAAATATAAATTAAATTTCTTTTTTATTTTTTTCTTTTCTTAAATTAGTTGTAAAGAATTTCGAAATTTAAATTCATTTTTTGCTATTATGATGGGTTTAAGTAATATAGCTGTTAGTCGATTATCTCTTACTTGGGAAGTAAGTTAATATATTTTAAAATAAAATAATAATAAAAAAACAAAAAAGAAAAATTCTTTTAAATTAAAATGATTTTGTTTATTATAAAAAAAAAAAAGAGATTACCAAGTAAAATAAAACGTATGTTTTCTGAATTTGAAACATTAATGGATCCATCACGTAATCATCGAGTTTATCGTTCAACATTAACAAAATTAACAGCACCAATTATACTTTTTATGCCACTTTTAATCAAAGGTTTTTGCTTTTTATTTATTCATAAATATATATATATATTTTTATCAAATTTAGATTTAACTTTTATTCACGAAGGAAGTAAAACTTATTTAAATGAAGGTTTAGTTAATTTTGAAAAAATGGTAGAAAAATATTTTCTTTTAGAAAAAAATCTTCTTATTTTTTTTGTTTTAAATAGAGAATGTTATCTCATACAATGCGTACTATGAAAATTTGTCGAAGTCAAGCATTACGTAAGTTATTAGACGACAAATATTTTCATATTTATTTTATTAGAATTTCTTTAAGATTTTATTTTATAACTGAAATATATTATAAATTTGTACAAGAGACGATAAAATAAAGAGTAATTCTATGTAGAACTTTTCAAGAGAAGATAGGTTAAGAGTTAACAAATATTTTTCAGACAGAGGATGCCCTATGAAAAAAAAGCTTACGAGGGAATCTCTCTCCAAGTGTTAATTGCCGATCGAGTTTATATTCTGTCCATAAGTAAGACTCGATGAGATTAGCCGAAGTCCGGCATGATTCGTTCTCATACGCTATCCTTTCGGAGTTACGAGCGTCTTACTGTTTTTTCGACCTTTGGCAATAGTATTTATAGGGAAGTCCAACAATGGAATTTTGTCCATAAATAGATCTCATGGTCACTAGATTGTCCTAAAAGTTTCAGCTAAAATGAACATTTCTTTCTTGAGATATTGAGTTTTTAAAAAGCTCGATTTTTTGACCTTTGCCTTTGAAATATGATCGTTCCTTGAAAATTCAATATCTTAAAAAAGAAACGTTGATTTTAGCTGAAACTTTTAGAACATTCTAATAACCATGAGACCTATTTATGGACAAAATTTCATTGTTGACCTTACCTATAAATACTATTGCCAGAGGTCGAAAAACCAGTAAAACGCTCGTAACTCCGAAAGAATAGTGTATGAGAACGAATCCTTCCGGACCTCTGCTAGTCTCATCAAGTCTTACTTACGAGCAAAATATAATCTCGATCGGCAATTAACATTTAGAGAGTTCCCCTTGTAAGAGATGATAGTTTTTTTTGTCAAACATAATCGATTGTCAGAAAAAAAAAACTCTGTTTTTATTCAATATTTGTTACTATTTAAATTATTGGATTAAAAAAAAAAGCTTGTTAGCACAGCCCCCTTAAGACTAAACTGTGGAACTCATAAATTCTCATCCCTCATTAAACGAATAATAAAAAAAAGTTTCTCTTGAACTAAAGTTATTTCCGAATATAGTAAATCGCTACAGAAAACAGCTCTCTTATTGATGTCTAAATTGCAAATAATCTTTTTTTGAAGGGAATTACTAAAGTCTATAGTGAGAGGAGCCGAAAAACTTGAACTTAAAACTTACATTCACTATTTTCTTAAAAAAAATATATGTGAGTTTCACAAAAGACTGCTACTAAATGATATTGATCAAATTAAATTCTATATTTGATTGTTATTTCTATCTATAAATATAATAAATACTTATTTGACTGAAAAACTATCTACATCAACAAATTTCTCATTCTAAGATTTTAGAATACGAACAATTAAATATGCTGCGAACAATAGACTATTTAACATAAGAAAAATGAATATCTATCGATAGAATGATCGTATGACAATTGATGGTGATAAATAAATGTTTCAGTCCATTGAGAGTTTATCATATACATATATATAGAAAGAGATAGTAATCACAGCATGAAACACATATTGATAATAATCTTTTCACAGCAGATATTTTCTTTTTTTAATATAAATAAGATGTTCATTTTGATTTTCTATAGAATTAGAAATGCCACAAGGTGCAAAAAATATGTCTGCAATTCAAGAGTATGTTCGGTTAGTATGATTCGATTTATGTCATTTAATTAAACTATAATGTATATTATTTTATTTAGTGAAATGAATGTTATTGATAATCAACGTATTCTTAATCAATTATCAAATAAATTAGAACCACGACAAGCATAAAAATAAGAATAATATTATAAAATCTTTTCATTTTCTTTATTCATAATAAGACTAATAAAAAAAAAAAAAATTTTATCGTTTTTTTTATTGTGTTCTCTAGATGTATTTGTTTATAAAAATGATTGTCTATCTCTTGTATTGATCAAAAGAGAGTATCGAGAATTGATGAAATAGATACTCTTATAAGAAAAAAGAAAAAAAAAAATTTCCTCTATCGATTTGTCATTTTGTTTATTTGTATTTGTTGATAGATGATCATTGTCGTTCTATTTTGATCTTATTTTATTCGAATCTAATATGAAATGATCATATAAACAAGTCTATTCTCAATTACAAAAAAAAAAGAAAAGAAACGATTTGTTTAATTTCTATTTTTTGTTATTATTTAAATAAAACATTTACTTTTGATCTATTAGAAAAGAGTAATGTACGAAACAAAGAATCTTCTTTAAAATGATAAATAAATATTATTTTATAATAAATTTGATTTCAATAAATCGTCTTGCAGTTTTTTGTAATTATTCATTTTAAAAAATATTATCATAAAAGACATAAGGATTAGTATCTCTATCTTTTTATAAAAATGAATTTTCTAAAGATATTTTACATATAGATATTCACTCGAAAGATTATTAATTGCTCAATATAAAAACAAACATAAATCTTAACTGAATAGCAATTTTCACATATTCGTTAATATAGTTTGTCTACACATCTGTAGATCATTGCTTCGACTTTTTTTGTTGTTGTTGTTGTTTATATTATTGTTCTGTTTGTCGACACGCACTTATCTATATTCTCAAATGTCAATATATCATTATATTTTCATTTTGATTAAATAAACAAGTGCAGTTAGAAGTCATTTCATGTAAAAAAAAAAAACGAATCTTATTCAATTAGGATTTATAAGCGAACTGATTTTACGTAGTGGTTTTTGTTTTAATGATCAGAATGATTTCTTCGTAAACGATTATTTTTTCAATTTCTTGCCTTTAGTTTTATTTCTTTGTACATATAAACAAAAACAAAAAAAACAAACTCTCATAATATGATGAATATAATAATAATTTCATTAATATTTATCATCTATTATTTTCTATATTAGATGTCGATTTGTAACAACAATGACAAAAAAAAAGGAAAACTAGAATTATTTAAAAAGAGATGATTTATATTATATATGTTAATTATCTTGATAATCATCAGGATAAAATGAAATATTAGTCTGTTGTTGATGATTAGACCAAACACCTTTCATACGCCAAACATTAAATGCATAACTTAATGTTGGGTGTTTAATTTGTTTTGATGATGAAAATTTAATATTTTTTATTTTTTCATCATCTGAATGTAATATTTGATAAAGAAAATCAATATAATGTGTTGCTAATTTTAATGTTTGAATTTTAGATAATTTATCTGATGGTAATGTTGGAATAATAAGACGAAGATGTGTAAATGCATCATTTAATGATTGTGTACGTTGTCTTTCACGTACATTAGCAATAGTACGTTGATTTTGTAAATCATCTTGTGACATTATTTCAATTTGTTGTTGTCGTCGTTTTGATGAATATTTTTGAGTATTTAATCGATGACGTAAACGTTTTTTACGATATATAGTATTATGTTGATTATTTTCATCATTATATATTGATATTGATGGAGAACTTAAACTTGATTCATTTTCATCACGATTAATTAAATTTAATGAAGAATTATAATCCATTTTAAAAATTTTGATTACTAAATAAAATAATATTATTATTTTTAAATTAATTTGTCTTTTTTTTACATAATAGAAGAATTATCTTCTATGCTTATTCAGATGTTATCTATTTAATATCTTATATAAAGATCTTTATATTGTTTATCTAAACCTGATGAGTACAAATAGAACTCGTCATCATCTCAATATGACAAGAGAGAACAAGAATATATATATAGATAGATAGATTCTTCTTCTTCTTTTTTTTTCTGATTTGTCGTATCCGATACTGATTGGTTGTTGATATTTATCTATGATAAAAAAAAAAGTATATTCTATTAAAGATAATATATCCTTAGAAAAGTGTTCATTAAAAACTAAATATTATATTTAAGAATAATTTCTTCTTTATTAATACTTACAAGATATTGCATATGCTTTTAATCTATTGCATTTAGATTCTAAGACGATATATATAAGTAAACGATTGATTTCTTAATGAAGATTGGAATGTGATCGAATTGTTTTAATGTTATGTTTTGTTACATAGAATTATTAAGATGAATTCTAATACAATCATGTCTAATATATACACATTTGTCGTCTATCTGTCGATATCAATAGAAATATTTTCTTTCATAGTTTTACAAAAAAAAAAAATTGTTGAACTATTTTATTTTTTTAACTCTAAAGATAATTCTTTTTGACTATTTCATTAGAATTGAAGGACAATCAATACACAAATATATCAACAATAATCAAGATTAAGAAAATTAATCATTCAGCACGTCGATTTCAAAATTTTTCTTAAAACTGTTTGAATTTTGGAATTGGTGAACAAAAAAAATTCGATATTCATTAAAATTTATTTTAATTTAATTTTTGAGAAAAAAAACATTCATGGCATTTATTTCTGTTTTGAACGAGAAAATATATATCATTGAAATAGTTTTCTCAAAAAGACAAAAATTGAAAATTGATAGATATCAAATAGTTCATTGATAAGATTAAAAAACGAAAATAAATCAAATTATTTGAAATTACACAAGAACTAGATTTGTTCATTTCTTCATATTTTTTAAATCATTCAATAATTAACAATTTACAAATGAGTAGAATAATCGTTTAAAATTCTATTTATTAATTTATCATATTAATTTCTAATATGAATTACGTTAAATAAGTTTTGCTCAGTTTCGTAACAGCACAACATCATCGACACAATAAATTTAGTACATACGAATACAAATGTTCATTGAAGAACATCAATACATAGAATTGATGTGTCAACGATGCAGCAAAAGCGAATGTTTGTTTAGTCAATAGATCTTATTTGTGTGTCTCGTTGTCAGGGCCCGCAAAAGTGGGGGTGTACACCCCCTCCCCCCAATAATTGACAATTATTCATTGTTAGCCAGCAAAATGAATAAAGTTTTTGCTTCGCGAAAAAGTAATCACGTGAGCGTACTCACCCTAAAAATGTCTGTGATTTTTGCCGCTTTTATGGCAAGTTTATTGCTGTCTTCCTTTTTTGAAGAGCTTCATTTTCGAGTAATCGTCATTAACGTAACCGCCTTTGACGGCAAAATTGCTAAAAGTTATTGTAACACTTTTCCTTTCGAACAACATAAGGATAAGAAGAGTTATTCATGAGTCTGAAAAAAGTTTTCGCTTCGCAAAAAATAACAATTGTGTAACCGCAGTTATCTTAGAAAAACTTTCTGCTTTAGTTAATGTTTTCTTCAAAATAGCTTAATTTAGAACGATTTTTACCAGAGTGATCGCCTTCGGCAATAAAAGTATTAAGAAATTTTCTCAAATTGGACACGAGTTCTCTTGAAAATTTGCCAGAGAAAGTCGATTTTTTTTAAGAAGCTGGCGAAAAATTGTTACATTTTGGTCGCAACAGAAAGATTATCAGATATGATGCAAAAGAAATTTTGCGTCTCTCAATATTGGCTGCTCCGAAACTCCCTTAACCTCCCCCCAATTCTGGGACCCTCACGCGGGGCCTGATTATTATAATGAAAAGTGTTTTTTTTTATTGATATAAGAGATGCAAAAAAAAAATAGTTAATATAATTAAAAAAAAATGGAAATTTAATTAAAAAAAAAGAAAATCTATGAATTATAATTATTTATTTTTTTCAAATGGTAAAAAAAATTGTTTCTTAAGAATTTGATTAAGACGATCATTTGCATTTGATTGATTTTGATGATAATTATCTTGTAATGAACTAATTGATCGTTCTTTAATAATATAATCAATTGAATTTAATGATTGTTTAACAATTAAATTATTTTGTTTTTGTAAATATGTTTTTTTTAAATTAGTATTTGAATTATTAATTGATAAATTTCGACGTAAAACAGATGTATCATATTTACTTAATGATTTAATTGTATTTGAATCATTTGTTGTTGTATCATTATCATTAATTGATGATGAACGACTTAAACGTCTTGTAAATTCCATTAAATGTGGCATTGTTATTATTGATGGTGATATATTACTTATTTGATCATTTTCAATTTTATTTAATGATTTATTATTTTGTTGTTGAATACGATTAATATTTTGTAATCGTTTTTGTATTACATATTGAGATGTTGGTGATGATGATGATAATATTGTATTTGACATTATTCTATCCGATGATTTTTTATTTAATTCATTATGTTGAAATGAAACAAGTGAACTTGTTCGTTTTACATTTTGATTTTGATCAATTATTGTTGAACTATCGACTTGTGAACGATTACTTTTTGTTAAAAAAATTCCTTAAATTATTTATTTATTTATTTTTTTTTAATTAATGCATTTGACAATTTTTTTTTTATGTTTTACCTGTTCCAACATCAGTATCATATTCATCAGTCTAAATATTTTTTATAAAAAATATATATATATAAAACTATTTTATATGAAATAATTCATTGATTATTCAAACTGACTATTTTCTATACTATTTTGCATTTCAGAATTAAATGACTGTGGACATTTTGTGAATAATTTTGGATAGAAACGAGATAGAGATCTGTAATTTTCATCGTTGAATAGAGCAGATGAAGACGCATCGAATTATATATAGAAAGATTTTTCTAGCTACTTTTCTATAGATTTTACATAAAACTTCAAGAAAAATAGCATGCTTACCATGGTCTCGATTTTAATTTATTGATTTTCAGGAGTGTGCTAGAGTAGCCAAAGGAAGTGCTACAAAACTGTATGAAGACTCTGTTTCTAACTACTACCAATATGATATCCAAACCATATGAACACAATTTACTACCTCATTTTTTTCAACAAAATAATCGAAAAATATAAATTTTTGTAGTATTTTGATAGAAAATCCACTTTTTTTTACGTAGAAGAAAAAAGCAATTCTTTGAAAATGTTTGACTAAACCTTGAGAAAAGTAGTTAGAAAAATCTTTCTATATGTAATTCGATGAGTCTTCATCTGCTCTTTCCAACGATAAAAATCGCAGATCTCTATCTCGTTCCTATCAAAAATTATTCAAAAAATGCCTATGGTCATTTAACTCTGAAATAGACAATAGTTAAATAAATACTTTAAAGGATATATTTATTAAGATTGATACACATTCTATATTTTCTCTCTTTTAAGAATTAAAACAATAATTTACCAATTGTTGATCATAATTCATATCTTGTAAAACAGAATTACTTTTCTAAAGCATAAAAATAAAAATGAGTTTTTTTTTTTTTAAACATAAAATAACTTTCAAAATAATATTTTGAAATTAATGACGAATGATATTCAAATTAATAAACATCTTTTCAGTTTGAATTCTATACATAAGATAGACTACAGTCAAATATTAAAAACTCTAAAAACAAAATAATAAATACTTGCAGATTTTCTCTCGAGAGTTCTAATCATTTCTACAGAAACTTTAATCTAGAAAAAGTTCTAAATAAAATTTCTTATTTCGAATTGAAAATTAGTCTATAAATTGAATAATTATTTCAATTCGAACTGAAAATTTAATTTTAATTTTCGATGATTTTTTTAGTAAATTATGCTTTACATAACATTAATCATAGCACAAGTATTTAACACTTTTTTGAATTTATTGAGAATAAATTCTGTAATAATTTTCTCTAAATCAAGACTAAGACGAAGCCCTATTTAACAGGATAATGATTATGATCATCAAAAAAAATAGAAAATAAGTCTGTATAAAAATGGAAATAATTATTTAATCATTACAATCTGATTAAATTAAAATAATTGAATAATCTAACCTGATGTATTCGTTCTAATGCACGTTCAGTTGTAAAAATAGGTAATCCATGTCCAGTACGTTTTGCATATTTACTTGTAAATAATGAACCTCGTTCTGGTATTATTCGAGTTGCTTTATCCATCTAAATTAAAATAAAATATTTAAAATATTAAATAAAAATAAGATTAAAAACAACAATTGATTAAGAGTATACCCAGCCTTTTATCATATACAACATTCATACCCACACCCTCTGGGAAAAAAGGATGGGGATACTCTTAAATAAAAAGCAATGTGTGTTTCTATATATATGATATCAACAAATGTGCAAACAATCAATGTGATATTTCTACTATTTAAATAAATGATGTGTATTTTTGTTTTTGAACCTGATCAACAGCAAGTGTAGATTTTAGTTGTGAATTAATATCAATATCTGTTGTAAATGGATACGATACATGTATTTGATGCTGATTATTATATGCATTTTTGCCCTAATCAAAATATTATTTTATATAAAATGATATCAATCGATCCCCCCCCCCAAAAAAAAACAAACGTATAGACGTTTGAACAACAATATCAACAAAAACAAAAAAACCAATCTCACCAATTTAGATGATTTCATAGATTTTGAACGTTTAACCTAAGTATGATTAGGTTATTAATTATGTTAGTAAGAAGAATAAATAATAAATATTTTTTTTAAATTGAAAAATATTTACTTGACGTTTACGATTTAATTTTTGAAGATGTTCTTCATTTGCTTTATCAGATCGTTTTTTTTTTGATTTTTTTTTTGTTAATGATTTTTCTTTTGTATATCCTATATCAGGTAATTCACCACCTTCTGGATCACTATCAGAATCACTTGAACTTAAATAAAATAAATAAATAAGTAAATATATATATATATATATTTAAATAAATCAAAACCTTGAACCATCTTGATCATTAAGAGTTTCATGACATTGTGTTAAAATTTCTAAACAATTATTTATTGAATTAAGTCCTATTTTTGATTCATTTGATTGTTTTTCTTCTATTAAATTCATATTTATTTTATAAAAATTTATAAAATAAAAACAAAACAAACCAGGATAAATAGAAGATAATAATCCAAATGGAATTTTATCTTTATCTAATCGATGAAGAACACTTTTTGTTATATCCATTAAAATTGATTCTAATCGTCTAGAAAATAGAAATTTATTTAAAATATAAAGAGAAAACAAAAAGTCTATCTTACGTTGAATCGTATAGAACATCTATATATTGTTTTAATGATTTACAAATACATTGTCCAAATTTTTCATAATCTTGTATATTAAAATGACATGGTCTTTCTCTAAAATTAACAAATATAATTACAAGAGATTCACAATAATATATACTTAAACATAAAATAATGTTTTCCATAGCATGACTTTTTCTTTTTTTGCATATAATACCTATCGTGTCGACATTTACCCACGGAAAAATTTTTCAAGAAAAAACCGCGGTTTCATAAACCGCGAAAGTCAGACCTTTTATGCGGTTTTTGAAACCGGCGAAAACCGCGGTTTGCAAATACCGCAGTGAGAACCGAGAAAATCGCGGTCCGAGCTGAGTTTTTGCAGGTCTAACCGCGGTTTTC